AAAGACTGACGAATGTTGTGCCTTCAAGACGTGAGAAAGAGTAGAGACAGCTAGACAGAAATTTGTGGAATAATCAGGAAATTGCATTGCTGATGTACCTTAACCCCAAAAATGTGAAAATGAAGAGCTCTGTAAAGACTGATGGAAGTTAACCTTCCCGACAACAAGACTTATTACAGTGGATCAATGTCACTGATCGGGTATGTGAAATGTAAATCAGAAATCCAACACCTTTTTTTTGGAAAGAATACAGCAAAAGAATATCATCTTAGGGCTATATAATATTTTGCTGGGATATGTCTGTTCTTTTCCTAATTTCTGTTTTATATATATTAATATGAATGCTGAAGTACTAATTTCTATTTTATAGTGTACTTTGATGATTTGGTGACGGTACCCAGTAGGAGATTCAGATGAAGTCATGTGGATATTTTGAAGGACAAAGAGCCTTCAGGTAGAGAAATAATTTACCCAAGTTGCTATTTTTAAGACTGTTCTTCATTTTTACTTCATTAATCCTTATGGTTACCTTTTTCCTTATTCATTGACAGATAATAAAGGTTTTGAAGAGACGTTTCCTTTGGAAAAAGACAAAGAGAGATGAAAAAGCAGAAAGCCAGTCCTATAAAGCACATACAAGCACATCCACCAACGTGATGGGTGTCTGAGTTTAGAAGAGGGTATGGGGTCGCCCACTCAGACACGTGGGTTTTCCACGGGTGCTCCGGTTTCCTCCCACACTGACCCCACAAAACTTTTAATGCTGCCTGCTTGAAAAAAACATTGCTTCCTTTAGGATATGCATGTTTCTATAAAGCAGAAGGTTCCAAGCCCTTAAAGGTGCTTAGACTCAGATTTGATGTTAATATTTTCTCAAATTTTCTGTATAATGTCATGACTTATTTGTTTCTATAGCATTTCATATGAAAATATAATAAAAATCTTATTTTTCTGAAAGTTATTGAAACTTCAAATTTCTAGACGGGTTTGATTGACACATCCTAACACTTTCACAAATTTTACCTTTATCCTAAATACTTACGAAAAGTAGCAATTTTATTGCGTATTGATGAAAAATATCAAAATTATAATCAAGAAAGTTCAGAGTAGAAATATGCGAAAGCAAACCCGTTTCTTAAGAATGTCAGCCCGTGCTCAATATTGTGTACGGAGTTTAACAAACTGAATACACCCCTGAAACGTACACAGTTTTTGTAAACAGGGCACGAGCTCTGTTATTGCTAATGTATACGTTTTACCGGGTGTGTTCAATTGTTAAACTCTGCACACACTGCTGAGTACGGACTAACAAAACTAATGTGTTGGTTTGGTTTTCGAACATTTCTACTCTGAATTTTCTGGATTATAGTTTTAATATTTTTATTATTGATACACTTTTTTAAGCATGGAGGATAAAGTTAAAAATTGTGAAAGTGTAAGGAAGCGTCAATCAAACACATCTAGAGATTCAAAGTTTCAATAACTTCCAGAAAAAATAAGATTTTTATTATATTTTCATGCGTCCCAAATTTTTTCTTTGTTTTTGTCTTTTTTCAGTTGCAAATTATTACTTTTTCACTAAAAGCTGTATTTGGAAATTCGTTTATTAAATATCGGGTATGAAATATCTATAGCGACAAACAAGTTTTGAAATTATACAAAAAATTTTAGAAAATATTAACATCTATGCACCTTTAAAAGAAGAGGAGAAGTTTTTGTGATGTTTGGTCACCCTATAACTGAGGTGACCTTGCTATTGCTATCTTATATGTTATTATACCCCCCGAAAACGAATATTGGGGGGTATATAGGAATCAGCCTGTCCGTCTGTCTGTGCAAACGTTTCCGGTCCATATCTTTCTTACAGAGGAACTTTAGAATCTACTACACCACACAAAGATTGCCCATGACCTAAGGGTGTGTCATGACCTTGATCCAAGGTCATTTGGGGAAGTTCAAGGTCACTGGAAGAAAAATCTCATAATTCATGTCCGGTCCATATCTTTCTTATGGATAAACTTGGTACGTTCTCATTTCACGCAAAGATTGCCCATGACTTAAGGGTGTGTGACATGACCTTGACCCAAGGTCATTTGGGGAAGTTCAACGTCAATGGAAGAAAAATTTTATAATTCGTGTCCAGTCCATATCTTTCTTATGGATAAACTTGGTAGGTTCTCATTTTACACAAAGATTCCTCATGACCTAAGGGTGTGCCTTGAACTTGACCCATGGTCATTTGTGCAAGTTCAAGGTCACTGAAAGAAAAAATGTATAATTCATGTTTGGTACATATCTTTATTATGGAAAAACTTGAATCTACTACTTCACAAAAACACTGCTTATAACCTGAGGTTTTGTCATGACTTTGTACCAAAGTCATTTATGCAAGTTAAAGGTCACTGACAGAAAAAGTTAATAATTTGTGTCTGGTCTGTATATTTAGTCTATCTTTTTTATTAGGCTGCGCCTTGTTTCATTTATAAAAAAAATATAATGAGCAACTATATTTGCACTAAATTTTTTTTAGCATTTCTCTCTTCTCTTAGATCCATAAAATATTCATGATTTAGTACCTCTAAAAAAACATGCGGGGGTATTTTGTCCCGTTTGGACAGTTCTAGTTATTATAGGTATTACATATTTTTTTTATTTATTGAAAATTGATAGGTACGCGAACTCCTGTGATTTAATGGTACCATGGGTATGACTTTTTAAAGTTAAATCTATGTTAGTTTTTGGATTTTTCATATGGATTACATTGTGAATAAGTACTAGAAGAATAATTCATGAGAATTTTTTTTATACAAAATATTTTGACCAGGGATGTATATTCGGGGAAGGGGGGTGTTCCTGTCCACAAGTACTTGTGCTTCACTACTGACAAAATACAAATTCTGTCCACAGGAGAAAAAACTTATCATCAGAGTAGAGCACCTCAACACAGCCTTTTGTATAATGAAACCGTCAACCACCTACTCACTTCTGACAAATTACAAACACTGCTCACTGGAGAAAAAAAACTTATCATCTGACATCATCAGGGTAGCGCACCTCAACACTGCTTTGTCTATAGTGATGCCCTCTGCCACCACCTCCCCTACTGACAAAATACAAACACTGTCTAATGGACGAAAAACTTCATCTGACATCAGCAGGGTAGCGCACCTCAACACTGCCTCAACACTGCTTTGTCTATGATGCCCTCAGCCACCATCTCCTTACTGACAAAATACAAACACTTTCCAATGGAGAAAAAACTTATCATCTAACATCAGCAGAGGAGAGCACCTCAACTGACAAAATACAAAAACTGCCAAAGGATGAAAAAAAAACTTTTTGTATTATGAAAATTTTTGGGGGCAAAAAATTGTGAAAAAATGTTTTCTATGTTCAATGAATTAATTTCGATTGAAAGTAACTTTTTATAAAACCATTAATATTTTAAAGAGCTTGTCAGATGCAGAATTGATTGATTGTATGTTGTTAAAGACCCCTCTTGAGAATTGTTCACACATATGGAGAGTCCATCACTTGCCGGAGGAGAGCTGCAAATTTTGTCCTTAACTTGGCACTGAGGGCCATTGAGCAGTGAGTGCAATCTTTTTCGTTCCAGCACCTACTGCGACACAGGGTATCGGTTTATACGTCTCCTCCGGGGGAAGAGGTACTGTTTTTATAGAGGGGTTCTGCATTTTGAAGGGGGAGGGGTCCAAGGTCAGTTTTAATTGATTTAGTGTATACATTTAATAACTCTGCCAATTCCAGAGGGGTCTTCACCCCCCCCCCCCCCCCCCTTAGAGGGTGTGCACATAAGTACCCAATTTAAATATAAAATAAAAACTGCTAATTTACTACATACAGAGAGTAAATGTACATGAATAAAAATATCACATTGATTGATTATGATGTTTTACACCCAGTTGTCAATATTTCAGCCATGTTTTCATGGTTTTGGCAGTAAAAAAGCAATATCCTAAAAAGGTATGATTAAGTATTGACAAATATAGCAAAACAATTTATATATTTTCACAGGGCTCCATAACAAATGATGTTTTAGAATATTTTAAACTGTAACAAACTAGGGCAGTCTGAATTTGCTTATGGACAACTTAACAGATTTATCACGTTCCAATGGAATAAGTAGGTGAAAAAGGAATAGCACAGGTTACTCAAATACTATGTTTTATTACCTATTCGAACAGTTGACATCACCTAGGCTAGTCCGAAAAATCTGACGTTTTCCTGGCTTTTTTACGATTTTGATATTTTACATGCCAGGAAAACGTCAGAACCGGCGCCATTACGAAAACTGGGAATTTCACCGTCTCCACACAAAGTTGATTTTCTATACTTGGGAACCGAATTAGATGCAGAACTCACAATTTATCAATGGCACAATGCTCCTAGAACTCACCAATATCGATGAAAAGAAATTGCCACTCCACATTCCGATTCAGAACTTGCAAGATTTTAAAATGCACGAAATGAAAACAAATCTCGACAGTCAGAAAAATGTTTTCATCGGATTATATTATTTCACAAACGAACCATAAAAACTATGTTGGTGAGTGCTAACGGTATTGTACTATTGATAAAATGTGAATTCGGCATTTAATTTGGTTTGCAAGTTTCTAAAATCAACCTGAGAATGCCGCCTCCGGTTGGAGGCGGCGAATTCCCAGTTTTTCGTAATGGCGCCGGTTCTGACGTTTTCCTGGCATGTAAAATATCAAAATCGTAAAAAAGCCAGGAAAACGTCAGATTTTTCGGACTACACCTAGGCCTAATCAATCAGACTGTTCGAATGAAACTGAATATACGATAAAATTAATATTACTGAATGGCAATACATGGAAAAAATGCGCCTCTTAGGCAGAGGGGCCGGAACCGGTGAGCGGCGATTTTACTGCACAAAGCCGGAACTAGCCTTTTGTATCGTTATTGGTTTTGTAATTACTCTTCTGTTTGATGTTCCGGTTTTTTGATTTGACGTTGACTGGATTTTATTTTTCTGAAAAAAGGAACAATTACAAGGCTCAAGATGGTATTCAATAGAGTGAAAAACTTTATATCCTACTGGTATCTACAATATCTTTTGGCAACATCTGTTTACATGTTGGAGCCCCTGGAAAGAAGAGTCTTTAGTATCCTTTTTTTCGCCTGTACTGGCTGTAGACTGACAGTATTTGTAAAACCATAAGGAACTTTTATTTTATTTAAGTTTTATATAAAAGCAATAGATCGAAAACCACCACAATATACATAAAAGGGTGTTTTCTCGGGGAGAGATCGGATGTTATATTATTTTATTTTTCGTTCCAAGGATTTTTTTTTTAAGTTATTGAAAAATATGATACCTAAACTGTTATAAACTGTTCTAAATCAACAAATAATAAATTAATATGGCAAGAAATAGAACAAAAGAAACATGTGTACTGTCAGGGCCGTCACTCCCCTCAAATTTGGACCGAATATCGGACCCATTCCCAATGGCACAAAGTGCTAGATTTTCCCAATTTCAGATGTAGAAAATTCCCAAACACGTGTTTTCTTGTATATACAACCTAATTTTCCACACATACATCCTTTATTTGATCCATTTAGCAGTAATGCATGCTTAATTTTAATCTGCAACAACCCTGTCATGATCGTTTATTTCTAATTCGAATTTCCTCTGTCATGGAATAGAGATCTAAAGATAGGTCATACGTAGATTGGGTTGGGGAACTTATTTTCATTATTAAAAAAGGATAACCATTTTGAGTTGGTTCATTGAATAAATAAATATATTTAAAAGTGAATTATAAGTTAAAATAAAATCTTGGACACTCTATTTCATTTGCATGAGTCAAATGACCAGAAAAAAAGAAAATTTTGCTAATCTTTAGAAGGAAAATTTTAAATAGTAACTTGATAATTTCAATTAAATAATTCTTTATAATCTGAATTTTTGATTGAGGTGCAATAAAACAGTAAGAAATACCCCCTCCCCACATTTTTTTTCCAGTCTCTGTATAGTATCATATGAAAGTAAAAGAAAAAAAATGCCTGTATAGTAAGTAAATGTTTGTTCTGTTAAATATAGATTTTATCAGACCTCATGTCCTGTAAATTTTAGCTTTTCAAGTATACTTTTTAAAGTGATAAATGGCTTTCATGATTAAATATTTTGCTTGTTTACAATTTTCCCAATTTAACAAAAATGTCGGGGATTTTTCCCAATATAGAGGGACCCGGTCCATGTACCAAAAGGTGCTATGACAGCCCTGACTGTGTTAACTGACCATTACTGTTTTAAAAAGGGGTAACTGCATGGTAAGTTAATTGCGTTGATCTCTTGCTACATGAAATAGTAATAATATTGAATAATTTGTTGACAGTGCGACCGTTAGGGTAAGTGCAGATACTTATTCAGTTTTAATTTAGATCAGGCTCGTCAAATTGCATGTGACATATGGTGCGTCTAAACACTGACGTCCCATGACGTTGTGTGTTAGTTCTATTTACACACATAGATATTTTCAGCAGAAGAGTGATCCTTAACTGATACTTCAGATTGCTTGTTGATTATTGTGCTGGCGATGTTCATGTATACAAGTTATGTTTTCCTTCCGGGCCATGCCAGAATGATTATTTATTTCATAAATACATATATACTGGGAGGGAATCCATCAGATGCAAGTGTTTAAGGAACAGATGAGCATGAAAGGGGGGAAAGCTTCGAAGAAGAAATATAGACGGACACAAAGTGATCTCGAAGGTTGTTCTTTATTATGAAGAAATGGTGCAATGGAAACCAAAGAAAAAAACTAGAAATAGATTGATTTACAGTTTACTTGTACATACATGTAAATGAGTTTATTATATTGTTACCTTCACCCTCATTGGAATTCGAAATAGACATGTGCTGAGTTTATTGTCATCATCAATTCCTCACAGTCATTTGAATCAAGTTGTTGTGTACATATATGTTATTCTAAAGAAGACATGCCACTTCATCAAAGAAATCATAATTTACTTAAGGTTAGTCAAGATATGTCTGTGGCCCATCATTTATTTCAACACCATTTATTCATTGTTTATTTTCTGGACATATTTTAGCTTTTAATATATTGTACATATAAGCTGTACCAAATGTTAATTATTAGAGGCAATGTATAGAAGCAGGAAAATTTGTGTAAAGGCGTGTAAATACTGCTCTTGTCAACATTATATTATTTTTTATGCATAAGTCCTTATCTTGCCATCAGTGTTTCTAAAGGTGTTAATTACGCATTTCTCATTTGTGTCATATGAAAGTGCTACGCAATGATGCAGCCATTATGGTGATATATGGAAATATTTTTACAAATTTGATTTCAAAGATATTTATGTTTGAATATTTCTGTTATCAATATTCCATATAAACCCAATTCTTTGACCTTGCAGTACGCAATCTTGGATATGATCAGTACATGTACTTTATGGTGTGTTTTAGAGTTGTATAACATTGATATATTCTGATTCATTATTATTAAAACCAATTTTTTGTGTTTAAATACATGTATATAAACAATGAGATTGAGAAAAAAGACTTATCAATGTACCCTTAATATGATGGGTTGGTATGTGCCATTTTGTTATTCTAAGCTCTATGTAGTACTTTTTCTATTGGTTTTAAAATTGAATTAAAAGATATAAAGGCCTTTTGTCTTTCTTGTTTGCCCATCTTCTTTGTGAAGAACTTCCAGACCTCTGATATTAATCATTTTGTAAATAATGTTAAAATTTAATTTCAACAATTTTTTTATTACGCACTCGCATATATGAACAAGGCCAGTGTTAACTGCTTGCCATTAAAGTCTGTTAATTATTTTTATTGTCTTGATTGTAAAAGAGTGAAAGAAAATGAAAACTGTTAAAAGTCTAAATAAATGTACAATGTACGACTGTTTAATAACTTTACTTAATAAAAATGTACATATTCCAATATTAAAGTTGGTTTTGTTGTCACTCTTTAAAATTTACTTGTAATGGAGAATGTCACCACCTGATTCGATTCCTCCAGAAATCCCAAGATGATTTTATACCTTTGGAAAAATGGTGGAATAAGGTACTTAAATAAAACTTGCTTGAGTCTGAACATCCTTAAACCTTTGACTTATTCTGTGCTCAAAACTATACTGGCAGCTGCCATGTGAGTTTTGGAAACGTGTAATCGCTTCCGTTGTATTTTAACTGTTACGTAAAAAGTCAAACTGATTTAACATTTTTAGCCAACTTTTCAGTCCCATTATGATAGCTATCAAAAATACAGAAATATGATTTTGTGCTTAAGTTACATGTATTTAAAAAAGGAGTACCTGACGGTTAAATATGGAATTTGTCTTTTTCAAAGGATGGACCGTATACTCTAAGCACTGGTCAAGATTCTGACTATAATATATGAGTTAAAGGACGAAAAGAGGGTTGATACACTATGGGTTCATTGCTCTGTAATCAAATCTGCAAGGAAATACAATACTTTTGATCTAGACCTAGATCGATTTTGAAAAGAAAAATACACAAGAAGAATGCAGCAAGATACTCCTTTCTATATACACGTGTATCAGATTTTGATTTCGACGAGCGTTTTCGAAATGATTACGAAAAATACTTTCTATGTATTTTCCCTTCAAAACACTAATCCTCTAATGAAACCTTATACGGGCACAAGTTTAGTATCGTTTTTGAAAAAGGGAAGGGGGTTGAATTGCCCCACCCCCCCCCAAAAAAAATTGTGACAAATAAAATAAAAGAAAACTTCAAAAGTTATTTTGTTGGAGAAATCAATATGTTAACTTCTTATATTTGAAGATCGATGATTTACTAGTTTTCATGATGATACATGTATATTTTTTGAAAACGAATTTTTGCATGAAATATTGAATGAATGATGGCAGATGTTTTTTTTTTTTTTTTTTGAAATGACGACTTTTTAAATATACTTTACAGATCTGTATCGTATAAAACAGATACTGAGTATATTAATTTTTATATGATTTCCCATTATTTTAGGCAAAACTTTACTTGTTTCTCTATGATTCTGTTTATTTTTCATATTTGCCAATTTATAGCTATTTCTTTCAACCAAGAACTATGTGACACTTCGGAAAGATAATCCTCATTTTAATTCCAAACTTAAACAAAAAAAAAAATCTTTTCAATTCTTTCATTCATTAAAATTTTGAACCAAATCAACCTACATATATAGTCGGTTATTAATTTTTATTTTGAAATTAAAATATGTAAACGACTACATGCATATTATAATGGAATTCATATACTAGTAACTGTATTTAAACAAACCTGCACTTTAAATCCCTATATCAGTATATCCGCCCAAGCATTCGATTTGGCCCACTTGGAAACAATACCAGATCAATATACACGAGCGTATACCTAGACAGGTCAACTCTAGGTGTTCACTGCACAACGCCCCAACAAAAAGGAAACATGGCCAATAAATACAAGACAGATTCAGTAAGTCAGTCAGATCTACCCCCTTTTGTGGAATCTATTTAAAAGTGAAATTACCAAGTTATAGACTTTGTTGATTGCACCTCTACTGTTGCTAAATGTATATGGATTTTTCAGGATTTGGCCGACTTGACTGATATTGGGATGAACTTTGGGGAAGATGAAGATGCAGGGAAATTTACGTACGATAAACTGACAGAAGAACAACTAAAATGTTAAGTGTTTTTTTTCATTTAATACATGTAACTATTCATTTTAACAAAGCATGCAACCTATCGTTACATTGTGTGTACTCGATTTTAACGGTGGTAAGGGGGGTTTAAATTTGCAGAACATCATTGAAATAAATATTTAGTTCATTATTTTATCTCCAGTTAGAATGTTTGCTGTCGGAAAGTTTATTCCAAGTTCGTATCGGGAACTACGATGTACAATTAAAACTCGTAGAAACCGAAAATTTCCTATTGTTTGCAATACTTTTCAATTCAAACTCTATTTATTTAAACTCTTAATCTATTTATTAATTTATTGGTTCAACAAGAAATCATTTTATCTATATCAGTATTTTAATGCAAATTCAATATAAAGAAGTAATTTGAATTTATTTTTTGCAATATACGTGGTTTTGGTTGACTTGTGACATACAATTATTTTATCATATCTTTTCAACATGGGAATGATCACATAGACTGCTGTACAGTAGACTCGTTCACTCATTGGAACTTCATAACCTTTTCACCGTAATTAATAAATGCAAGCTTTTTAGTAGCATTTGCAAAAGAATCACGGAATCTGAATGGGAGCATATATTGAGAAAGTTCATTCTAAAGAATATCCAATACTAGTAACTTAATCCACAAGAACCAATGATTTTTTTAAATTGGAGAACGTGCCCCAAAGTCAAGCGAATGACTAATCTTATCTTTTTTTTATTCTAATGTAGTTTGGTCAGTATAATGTGTATAAATATAACATGCAAACACAAGAGTCCACTGTTTCTAAAAGGGACGGCACAGACAATTTCTTCGATTTTTGCTTTGAAATCTACTTTTTTTATTTATACAGAGGAGAACAATGTGATGCCATTCCAATAACTCTTTTACTATCGTCTTTGAAAATAGAAAACCTGGTACTGTGGAACGTCCTGTTTCTTTATACTAATTTCAGACTTCCTTTTCATTATCTGTTGGCTTGCTAACAAGTGGCAGTTAACTTGTCTTTGATGTTCTGTAAATTTCTTGTTTGATGACGTGTATGTTTCTTGTCTTCAATGGTAGAAGTCCCTTTTTTAAAAATCCCTGCAATAATTGTAACCTTCACTTCTCGGTGCATTGGAGGATGCACTATAGGTCGGGGTCGAGGGACATGCAACAGAAAAATGGATGGGATTTGTATTTGTACAACAGTATTTTTAGTTATTGAACTCTTTAAATATTGCCCTTTCTGGGCGAGTTTTAAAGCATATACGTTCGGCTAAATTAACGACGTTCGATCCTGATATTTAAAGTCTTAAACTTTTTTGCCAAGTATATTTTTAGTTTCTACATAGATAGCTTGATTAAAATTCGAATCAAAAAATGGGGGTCAATACGCTTCTTTTGGCGCTACAGTACGTTTAATATGACCTTTTTGCACTGAAATTTGTGTCTTAATTAAATATTATATTTTTGACGTTTTCCCTCCAATATTTTTATCCAAGTAAAGCATTTATGCATGAAACAAAATGAACTCTAAATTTGTTTTTAAAAAAGAGACACTTAAAAATTGTGATTAAGAAAAAGTTTTGAATTGCTTAGCATAATCAATTATTTGACCTTTGTGCACTACTAAAAGGGGATTTTCTGGCATTCCAAATTTAATAAGCAAGAAAATTATTTTTAAGTCTTAAACTTTTTTCTGATTTTAAGCAAATAGCGGCGGTACATGATGTAAATTTTCAGATATTACTAAAATTTAAAAAAAATGTCAATTTTACGTTAAAATTGGCTCAATTTTTTCCCGGATTTTCAGAATATATTGGCCATATTTGTCACATTTTGTTGATAGAATGTTCATAAGAAATAATTTAATAGATATTTCAGAACCAGCATAACACATTTAACTGCAAAAAAAACAGCTTTTTGTGCAACCAGGATGGAAAAATAGGAATCCAAAATTAACAGTACTGTTATTGTTCAAAATGGAAAAACTGATATTTTCATCTAAAAAACCTTCCGCCACAAAATATAGTCCCTATCTTAATTCTACTTGAATGGAATTTAATCGCTGTTTTTTCATTGAATATAGTTAAATGTGCACTGTCGAATTCAGATTTAATGTTATAACTTAAAAATGATGCAGAATTTTATAAATAAAGGACCTGACCAAATTACGCTCAAAATCTTAGGATCGAACGTCCTTAAATGAGTTTTTATTCCCGCGCCAAATATACACTGTAAGTAATACAGTGGAACTTTGTTACCCGAGCATCGATATTTCAAATACAGGGAGTTGGCATTTCCAAGCAACTATAATTATTCTTTATGTATTTACCCTGGTAAACTCAAAACTACAGATTTCCCAGGGTTTCATCTTGACAAGTGAGAGTATAGGGTTGGTGATCAAAGTTAAAATAATTTTTTTTATCGAGGACTTCATTATACATTAGAATAATTGGGCTTTATCACACGCATAAAACTCGTTTAGTACGAATACGGATATTGCGAATTCATGGATATAGCGAAGTTAACTTGGATCCACAGTATAGAAGTTTAAGAAATTCCTTATATGGATAAAATGAATTATGGAGATATCGAAGTACAATGTATATGTAATTTCATAGGTCCCAGAGACTTCGTTATAACCAAGTTGTACAATGCAAATCTGCAATAATAGTTCTTCATAACCTTGAACTGGAATTCTCAGAGCGCATATCAGATACGCCAAATAAATTATTCAAACCAATACTAACCATTAATTGTTGCATTTACTCTATTTCTGCAGTATGTAAAGATTGTTTCGAGTTCTTCGACAAAGACAAGAGTGGAGCAATAGACAGGTCGGAACTTATAACGGTGATGAGAGCAAATTTTATACACATCAAAAGGATGTTGAATAAATTGATAATATAAGTAGCGGGGATGTCTTAAGGTAATAAATTCAAACGCATCGAGGAAGCCATCATTATACATTAAATAATTGGGCTTTATCAACGCATAAAACGTTTAGTACGAATACGGATATTCGAATTCATGCATATAGCAAGTTAAGGATCCACAGTATATAATTCAACTGAGTTCTCATCATTTATGGCAAAATCAATTATGGAGATATCGAAATATAAAAATTTGTATGTGGATAGGTCAGTGAAATTGTTATAACCAAGCTGTACAATGCAAATCTTCATAATAGTGTCTTCATAACCTTGAACTATAAATTCAATCAGAGACACATATCAGATACGCCAAATAAATTATTCAAACCAATACTAACCATTAATTGTTTGCAATTACTCTATTTCTGCCAGTGTTTGAAGAAATGCTTGTTTCCGAAGTTCTTCGACAAAGACAAGAGTGGAGAAATGACAGGCGGAACTTATATATTTGATGAGATAAAGACGGGACTTAATCCCTCTCAAAAGGATGTGAATAAATTGATAACAGAAGTAGCAGGGAAAGGTAATAAATTCAAACCCATCAGGAAGCCAGCCAGGTAACTCAAAAAAAAAAGATAGATTACAAAGGTATATAATTATTACAATTTACATGTAACATTTGATTAATTGTTGGTTGTTTAATACAACAGTATTTCTCATCAAAATTTATGCAAAAAATCACTTTTGTATTTAATGTCTAAAATAAAAACTAATGTAAAATTTCAGGGATTTTTACCGGTGAACTTGTTTCAAAGAGCAATTGCCCTTTATGTGATACTGTTCAAGGCAGGAGTTACAAACAGTTTGCCATTTTAAAGTTACGTACAAAAATGATAGTTTAACACATCTCAACCGCTTTTCTGTTTACAAACGCTAAATATTTCATGGCCAGTGTTAAAAGAAATGTTTTATCTATATAAAATAAACATTAGAAATAATGACTTTGAATATATTTCATAAATCAAAGAACATAGTTGATTAGCGTAAGGATTTTTGATAATCGGAGTGTTACCGTAGGAAGAACACATACGAGGTAAAGCAGGACATTAACCAGACTGGCCTGTTTGTTTACAAAGGTATATAATTATTACAATTTACATGTAACATTTGACCGTGGTATTTGGTTGTTTAATACTCACTGTATTTCTTATCATTTATATTGATAGTTTTAAAATAATTTTTTCATCAGAATATAAACGTGATTCATGTAAGAAATCCAATTTCGGCTCTTTGTACTTCTGAGTACTTTGATTTTTGTTGTGCTTTCAGAATTTGTGAACATGATGTGCAGTTTTTGAGGAATCGTAGTATCTTGGACATTGGTGTGGCATCAGTGTAAATGTGGAACATGGATGATATTCAGCAGGAGATCTACAAATTTCTATTCAAAGAATCTCGAAGGACGAAAGGACTCCTTTGCTTACCAAAAATAATTCTTTTTTGCACTTGTGACTTTTCCCAAAAGACAGGGATATATGCATGATGCAGACAATTGTTGTACATGTACATCATATGGGACAAATGTCGAGGCAGATCATGAATACGAAGTGATTAAAGTTTCTAGACATTCATAATTTCAGTAGTGACACTCTTTTTCAGGACCAAAACTCTTTTACTTAATAGAATAATCGATCAGTTGATATTATCTTTAAAATATACATTTATTGACAAGTTTCGAAGGTAACATGAAATTTGTGAGACTCAAGAATGGTTTTGTTTTAAGGGACAACAAAACAGATTTTGCCCGAGAACACTGTCAAGAATGAAAAAAAGATAGGATTCATGATCAATCCCAAAACAATCTATGATCAATACATTTCTGCGAAGAGCGCATAAAAGGGTCACTGGAAATTCAAGAAGTGGGAAAGTGGGATCAGGTGACTGGGTAGAGTAAGCATCCCCTGTTAAACGATCACACCCACCATGAGTTTTGATCAGGTAGACGAAATATTCCCCAGTCAACCAGTTTATAAAAAGGCATTACAATTAGAATGAAACAAGTCGGCCAAAACACGACCAATTTTTTCCTTATACTTGCTAACAAGGTCATTACGATGACCATACAATTACGAAATGTCGACTTTAAAGAGATTGTTTAAAGCCATGTAACATCAACGTATTAGTAAGTAGCTGGCCTCAACTTTAAAAATTGATCATACTCAGGGCAAGTACATGTACTTGATTTCGATTATGTTTGGAGGTGTTAGTTCTGTTATTTGTTTGCTATTTAGAAATTGTGAATGAATCAATTAAATAGATAAATTCTGTCATCTTTCAATTTTTATTGAAGGTCAAAATGAGCAGCTGGTTTTTCAGGAAATTAACCAATGAAATCTTAAAAATTCATTTTTCAGTACAAAGCTTCATTGATTCAGTTCAACCGGTTATTTTTTGACTGTGTCTAATATGGTTAAATACAGTGAAAAATATACAAATCTCTGCAAGTTTTAATTTACCCACTGTATCCCAGTATACATGTAAACATAATTTGATTTTGGTAAAAAAAAAATTTAAGTAAAGATTAAAAAAAAAACATTGAAATATATCAACAAAAAAGCAACTGCATATAAGTTGTTACCATTTTATATATGTATTGTTTAACAGTATTTATTTGATAAATACTAAATGGCACAAAGTTGCCCCTTGATTTAGTATTGGAACAATTAAATTATACATATCTACTAAATATGAGAAGGAATTTCATTAATTATGCATCAAGTACAATGTGTCTAAAAATAAAACACTAAAATATTTTTCATCTCACATTTCCCACCTGAAGATTCAGTGAAGACAACACAGCTCTATTCACTAGGAGGATTAAATATGGCAGGGTTTACTGGAAATCCAGTCACTTTTTCTATGGCTTTATTTTTCTCCTCCTCAGACATTTCTTCATAATGAGAAAATTCCATATTTAAGGTGGATTGTCCGTGTGTGATTTTCCTGATGGTATTGGAATACTCCCTGAGCTCGGCCAGGGGGACGGTGGCCTGAATGACCTTGGTGTTGTCCTTGGGATTCTGGTAGACGTGTTCTATTTTGGCACGCCTACTGGCTAAATCATGAAGGACCACTGAGGAGAAGTCAGCCTCTGTGCTGATCTAATAATACAAAAACATAAGAAATACACTGTATGTCAATCATATGTTCACATAAGTAGAAGATTTAAAAAATATCATGCATTTGAACATTGGTATTTCAAACTTAATTGTATATGTGAAGTGATTTGGAAGTTCTACTCTTTTTTTTGTATCATAAATTCAGTATCTTGAATCTTAAATACAAGTATTTCAAAGTCTTTTTCTCTGTCCCATGAATTTCATGATAGAGGATTGAGTGCATATTTCAAACAATAATATGTTCAGTTCATTTGACTATAATTTAATTTTGGATTGGTTATGCAAATTATTTTGTATAAGTGGACACATTACGACCAGCTTAATCATCTTATCCTGCAATCCCCTCATTTGTTTTTGTGAATCCATGGAAAATTCCAGATTTAATAAATGTACCTTTAACTTCAAACAGTTACTCGATCTTACCTCATGTAAACAGACATCATGGCTGCTAGTATGTATCAGTTATTAGTCTAAGGTTGTATTATTGCGCAGTAAATTTGAACTCATAAAAAGCAGCACAATTTTATATCCAAAGTTGTTTTATTTATTTTAAAATTAAATTCACAGGAATAGATGATTGAGTGCATATTTCAAACAATAATATGTTCAGTTTGTTGATCCTACCTCTAGCTTCATTATGGGTTCCATCAGATGGAGTATGGCTTTCTTCAAGGCGTTATGGAGACACATGGATGCTGCCGCTGACGCCACATTAGGAGTGGTATCCCAGGACAACTCCACACTGTGGAGAATGACTTCTACGTTTATCACAGGAAAATTCAATATTGGACCTATGTAGAAGGGAAGAAAATAAAATTTTTAAAGAAAAAATTAAACAATGCATGTTTCTTTCCAATCAGCACTTCCTTAGATTTAAAAAAAATAATAATCTTGAACCTTGCTCTGAAAGAAAGGAAAAATAAATAAATCATTTAAACATCTTTATTTCTTGAGTATTTATTGTATACATATCTACAAAACAATAATCCACTTGGAGTGTATATGCTAAATGCTTATCTACTAACTAGCAAATGCAAACTTTAAAATCTGTGCATAAACAATCTCCACAAAAATTTCTGTAAATTAAGTTTCATACAAATACAAAGCTATAAAGATTAGTTTGACTCAGTAAACCCCTACCATAAGACAGAGCAGTTTTAATTCCATTCTCCATCGCAGACTTGTACTCCTTCCTAAATCTTGCAGATGTTATAAATGTCTTCTCATGAGTTTGTGGTCTATACGATATGACCTTCTTCCCAGTCTGTTGTTCACTAGGCTGTACTGTCATGGCTACAGTCACATGCTGTTTCTTCCCTCCGATTACACTATCCAGGGTCTCTGTGTGTGTGACTGGGTCATCGATGGTCTCCTTATAGGCGATCTGTAGCGGACCCATGTATACGTCTATCTTGTATTCTGATAGCAATCTGTGTTTAACAACCTCTAAATGCAATTCTCCCATTCCAGACAGAATGGTTTGTCCTGTCTCTTGGTTTACTTCTACCTACAAATTACACACAAAAAAAAATAGCCAAAATTTTAGCCTAATTCCAAAATTATTATTCTGAGGTATACCGTCCATATAAAAATTATCTGAAAAAGACTAAAATACTAAATCATACATTGTATCCTTAGATGCTTTGAGTAATGTGATATTCTTATCTTTGAAAGCTCCAAATTATAAAATGTACTCTTAAAAAATATTTCTCAGAAGCCAAAATGTGAATAATTGACAAAAAGGCACTTTTACAGAAGAGTATTTCTAGAACCTAGTGGTATAGAGTCACATTAAAAAAACTACAAGATCTGAAGTCATGATCACGTAAATCACTAAGAAAATATGACTGGGACTTCCAAATAATTTGGACATATCTATGGTATTCAAGATTTCAGTGTTTGAGATACCAAAGTTCAATTGTATCATTTTACCTTGAGACTTGGGTCCTCTCTTTGAAGACATTCCAAGGCCACATCAAGGTCTTTCTGATACGCCATTGATGGTGGCTCCACTGAGCAGAAGAAGACAGGAGAGGGCACCTGTAGACCCGCCAGCACCACCTCGTTGTTCAGGTCATCATCATGGCTGTCATCGTGTGATTCCTCCTCATCTTCATGGTGCCTGTGTTCCCTTAGAATGGGTTTTATTTTAGCGAATCCTTCTTTGGAAGTTATAGTGTCACCAGTTCTGGTCTTAATTCAAGAGAAAATATATACTTTTTTCAAGAAACTTTGTCAAAATTAATAAAAATTCTTGAATTAAATGATAAGGGCATTATAATACAAGAATTTTTCTTTCATCAAGAAATTTCATGGCTGAATCCCCTGCATTGTATTTTTATTGTGTCTGTTACTATTTTCAATAAAAAAATCTTACCTCTTTGAGACCAGACACACATACAATATCCCCAGGGTGGGCTGCTGATATGTTGTGATACTCATTGGCCAAAATCCTAGACAGTGTCTTCACTTTCTCATGACAATTTCTATTTATGTTGTGTACATCGCTCTTTTGATGCAAACTTCCTGAGTAAATCCTAAAGAAGGTCTGCGGGATTTTTTGCTGGTTATGGATAGTTTTAAATGCAAATGCACAAAGTTCTGATCCATAATACTGCAAAAATGGAAATTCTCTATCATTTGGACAGGGTAGATAGTGATAGATGGCATCCATTAACGGTTGAACACCTTTGTTTTTTAAGGAGGACCCACACATAACGGGAGTAAGCTGTCTCTGAATGGTGGCAGTCCTTAGAGCCTTTCTCACCAATTCTGGTTTAATTTTGTCTATATCTGATTCTAAAAGAACCTCATCTGCAATTTTTTCATCTGTGTCACTTAATCGACCAATAAGATTTGTCCTTTCCTTTACTGCATACTCCCAAAACTTACCATCTTCTTTCTCTGTTAAGGGTATAACTGAAAACTTTCTCCCATCTGTAGATTTTGTCAGGTCCCATTCATATTTCACCATATCAACTATGTCCACTAGTCCTCTGAATTTTTGTAAGTCTTCACCATAAGGAAAATTGATAAGAAATGGATCAATGTGTAATTTCTGTCTAATGGATTCTAAGCAGAGCTCCACACTGACCCCCATTTTGTCCAGTTTGTTGAGGTAAATGATAGAGGGGATATTGTGTTTTGTAGCTTGTCTCCACACGGTGACAGTCTGGGCTTCAACACCTACCATAAACAGAAATTTACAGTCCCTTGAGAA